TTGCAGCCACTGTGTCAATCCATCTCATTGAAGGTCTTCCTCTTGTTCAATGACCCTCTTTGCCAAGTATGATGTGCTTCTTCAGGGATTGGTCCCTCTTAATAACATGTCCAAAGTACATGAAATGAAGTCTAAGGAGCATTTTGGCCGTACATCTTCCAAGACAGATTTGTTCGTTCTTCTGGCAGTCCATGGTATATTCAGTATTCTTTGCCAACACCATAATTCAAAGGCATAAATTCTTCGGTCTTCGTTATTCATTGCCCAGCTTTCACATGCATATGAGGTGACTGAAAATATCATGACTTGGGTCAGGCTCACCTTAGTCCTCAAAGTGACATCTTTGCGTTTTAACACTTTAAAGCGGTCTTTTGCAGCAGATTTGCCCAATGCAATGCATCATTTGATTTCCTGACTGCTGCTTCCATGGATGTTGATTGTGGATCCAAGTAAAATGAAACCCTTGACAACTTCGATATTTTCTTCATTTATCATGATGTTGCTTTTTGGTCCAGTTGTAAGGATTTCTGTTTTCTTTATGTTGAGGTGCAATCCATACTGCAGGCTGTAATCTTTGATCTTCATTAGTAAGTGGGTTAAGTCCTTTTCACTTTCAGCAAGCAAGGTTGTATCATCTGCATATTGCAGGTTGTTAGTCTTCCTCCAACCCTGATGCCGCGTTCTTGTTCATACAGTCTGGCTTTAAAAGCTTTTTATGAGAAAAGTTCAAAACTTATATTCTTACATTTAATGATCTCATACTTCCAGACCTTCCAATACTTTTATACTTATTAACACTGTACTAAATAATATTGTTCTTCCTTTACTGCTAAACTTCTTCCACTATGATGAATAAAAATCATAAAAAGTGGCGACTGCTAGTTGCCACAACTCCCACAATCCCAAATCCATCTTTCCTTCTTTTAGGATACAGGTGGCCCAGTTTCCATTTTAGCTAAGTGTGGGCTTGTAATTAAGGTCCTCAGTGAATTGCTGTCATGGATTGAATTATATCCCCCCAAAAATGTGTGTATCAATTTGGCTGGGCCATGATTCCTGGTACTGTGTGATTTTCCTATATGTTGTAAATCCTGCCTCTATGATGCTAATGAGGGAGGATGGGTGGCAGTTGTGTTAGTGAGGCAGGACTCAATCTACAAGATTGGACTGTGTCTTGAGGCAATCTCTTGAGATAAAAGAAAGAAGTGAGCAGAGAGACGGGGGACCTCATACCACCAAGAAAGCAGTGCTGGGAGCAGAGTGCATCCTTTGGACTGAGGGTCCTTGTGCAGAGAAGCTCCTAGTCTGGAGGAAGATTGATGAGAAGGCCAACAGAGAGAGAAAGCCTTCCACTGGAGCTGACACCTTGAATTTGGACTTTTAGCCTACTTTACTGTGAAGAAATAAATTTCTCTTTGTTAAAGCCATCCACTTGTGCTATTTCTGTTATGGCAGCACTAGATGACTAAGACACATGCTTAATAGGAAAGCTGCTTGATTTAGATCTTTTCTTTTTCCTTTCCCAAAACTGGCACACAGATGTGCCTACAACAAGCTTTGTCCATGCAGATGATAATAATGTCCTAGGAATGGCAGAAAAATAAGAGAGAATGTACCTGAGTGATGTCCTGGAGCAGAACACTCCACCAGCTTGGACCACTCACCTTGGGACTGGTTACACAAGAGAGAAATAAACTTCTATTTCCAATGAAGGCACTGTAATTTGAGTCTCCTTAATATAACAATTTAACCTTTATCTTTACAAAAACATAATATTGATAATAATAAAACTAGCATTTAGTGTTATATTGAATGTCAATTCAATCTATGTTATTGTGTTCCCCCAAAATATGTATCAACTTGGGTAAGCCTTGATTCCCAGTATTGTGTGGTTGCCCTCCATTGTGTGGCCTGATGTAATTGTCCTATGAGTTGTAAATCCTAAATCTCTGCCTGTGGTTAATGAGGCAAGCAAAGAGGATTAGGGTGGGATGCAACACCCTTACTCAGATCACAGTTCTGATCCTAGGTCCTTGGGGTATGGTCTGCATCACTTTTTATCTTACAAGAGATGAAAGGAGAAAGAAGCGAGCAGAGAGGGACCGCCTACCACCAAGAAACAACAACTGGGAGTGGAGCACGTCCTTTGGACTCAGGGATCCTGCACTGAGAACCTCCTTGACCCAGGGGAAGACTGATGACAAGGACCTTCCTCCAGAGCTAACAGAGAGAGAGAGCCTTCCGCTGGAGCTGGCACCCTGAATTCAGACTTCTACCTTGCTAAACTGTGACAGAATAAATTTCTGTTTGTTACAGCAGCACTAGATAACTAAGACATTACCATTTACAGTATGCTCACGTATACATTATTTTTCTAAACTTTTTTTCACTTTGATTCTGTTCCTTTTTGATTTTATGCAAGTAGTCATTGTCTACTAGCATAAGTTAATCTGAACTTTGAAAACTAAGGCTAATCATGATCATAATTACCAGCTCACTAGTTTGTTATTCTATAACACATTTATTTATACTTTTCAAGCAATACCATAAACTGTCTAAAGTAGGTTCCTTTTTTATTAGTTTACATATACCAAAAAAAAAAAAAAAAAAACCCAAATCCATCACAATCTAGTTGACTCCGACTCATAGCGACCCTACAGGACAGAGCAGAACTGCCCCATAGGGTTTCCAAGGAGCGCCTGGTGAATTTGAACTGCTGACCTTTTGGTTAGCAGCTGAGCTCTTACCACTGCACCACCAGGGCTGCAGTTTATATATAATCACCAATAAACCTCCAAATATGACATTTTCCACAAATTCGTAATGGTATGATTATGACCAATGGCAAGAATATATTTTCATGAACTTTAAAAACTTCATGTGAAATAAAATGTGCAAGGATATCTATTATTCAAAATAAGTATCTGTATTTTCTTAGGGAAAGATACTAAATGATTTAACAGTGTTTTAAATATAATTTTATGGTGCAATACTCTGTTAAATGAAAGAAAAGCAAGTATTTAGAGATAGCTTCTAAAATATGTATGTATTTATGAATATATCTTTGGTAAAGAGCCAAATAAAATAAAGTGTGAGTCACTGTCAATAAACATTCCCTAAACGTCCTTGCATCATTATGGGAGAGTTACTCTTTGGTATTAATAATGTATATAATGCAAATTACTGTTTACATTCTTCTTAAAGGCATTAAAAAACAATTATCTATTTAACAGAAACATCTCTGAAGTCTAACAAATTAACTACCTTTTTATTTTCTCATCAAAAAGTTGAGGAGTTACTTTTAAGGAAAGAATTAGACAAAATAAGATTTTACAATTGTAGTTGCGATTTATAAATTGCTAGAGTTTAAGAGATAAAGAACATGTTGTCTTGTATTCACTTAGGAGGGTAGAGCAAGAGCTATTTGTATATGATCTTTTCTGATCCTAAAATATCTCAAAGTTCATCTCTGATTGAGATCACAAGTGAAGGAATTTGTAATCAACTTTAGAATGGCAAAACTGGAGATCTTCAACCTTTAACACCTCTCTGGAGATCTTCAACCTTTAACACCTCTCTGAAGTTCTAGCCTTACCATCTTACCATTTTTATACATAGAGGAACTAAGGTATAAGCAAGCTAAGTAGTTCACTTATTATCTCTATGAATCAGTGTCATAGCTGGGAATGGAAGCCAAAACTTAATGTTGGATCATTCTCACAAATGTAGGCTGATCTCATTTGGAATGGATGCTGGCTGGGAATGAAGGTAAGCCATGTTTGGAAAGTCCCCTTATAGAGTACTGTATTTCACAAGCAAAGTACTTGCTGAGGACTGCAAAATACTTGCTTAAATGAGTTCCAATTGATAATGCAATTAAAAAAGAAAATACAATATATTAGATTTCTTCCCTTCCTCTAAAAACAAAAGTGTCCTTGAATCCTAGAAGTTTAAAATGTGCTTTGAATTTAGTTCAATTTTAAATATCCAGAAAATGCATATTTCATTTACTTTTTATTTCCTTTACAAAATGTGAGTCGCTTTTGTGAAATCCTTCCTCCACGGTCCCAGTGAACATTCAGAATGAGACTATTCATTTGGATCCCTCCTTCTCTATTGAGAAACGTATTCTCTGTCCTGTTACCACCCCAGAAGGTTAAGTACCGATCATAGGTAAAACAGGAAAAGTTCCTGACAAATCTTAATAGATTATCTCTTTTCCCCACCAAAGTACCAATGGTGAAAAACTTATAAGGACAACTCAACCCTTAAAAACAAAAATAAAAAAACAATTTCATCTGTGCCAGTGTCCTTGATGTTGCATCTAGTTGCAGTATGAGACATATTCCCTCGGGTCATGGCCCAGTATCTCTGATGCCCACATTCGGTGCTGTGAGGTGTTCATAGCATTACCGCATCCTTCTCCCACTGAATGATGCCCAGTGAGCTCATGCAGTGACCGAGGTTGGAGCAGTGCTTGCTGTGAACCTAAAGGATCAATCACGAAACTGGGGATCCTACTTCGCAGTTCTCCCGGGCCGCAGAGGGGAAACCGCTTGGTTAGAGGAGGAAAAGGCGTGTTTGGAGAAGGGTGGTCAGATCAGGGTCATATCCCTCAGCAAAAGACGCTGAGTTCGGGGAGAAGGCAGAAAGGGAATGGAAGAGGTGGCGATCAGGATACTGACAGGGGAAGAAAAAGAGTTGTGAAGAGGGGGGGCGGGGAGGGTGACCCTGGTTCAGGAGGGAAATTAAAGACGGAAAGGGGCGCAGGAAATGGGCGCCAAAGAAAGAAGTGAGAAATTGCGGAGGAGGAAGTCAACCCTGGAAGAGGAGGGGCAAAGGGGAAGCAAGAATGGAGTGTTTGTACTTTCGAGAGGGAAGGGCCGGAGCCTCTCCGAACCGGGGTCCGTGGGGCGGGCGCGTGGGGAGGAAGCGCCCGGGAGGCGGCGCCGCGGTCCCCAGGGACTCGGCGCCCGGGGTCCCGGCGAGGGCGGCCCTACCTGAACCGCTCCTGCCCCGCCGTGTCCCACAGCTGCAGCTTGATCCTCTTGCCCGGCTCGATCTCCAGCAGGCGGGAGAAGAAGTCCACGCCGACGGTGGGGTCGCAGGCGGGGGAGCGCAGCCCCGGGAAGCGGCCCTGGGTGAAGCGGTGCAGGAGGCACGACTTGCCCACGGTGGAGTCTCCGATCACGATGACGCGGAACTGGTAGATCCAGATGGTCTCCATCGCTCACGTGCCCGCCCCGCCGACTCCGGGGCCGCCCCACCCGCCCGCCGCAGCGCAAGTTCGGCGGCGGGAACTGTCCCTTCAGCACCTCCCGGATGCCCGCCTGCCAGCTCGCCCGTCGGCTTCCAGCATATTCCTGCGGCTGCGGCCGCCGCCTGGTCCCCGCCCTCTCGGGAGGGAAAGGCGGAGCCCGGCAGGGCCGGGGGCGGGGCCTCGGGCCGGGGGCGGGGCTGGGGGCGAGACCGCGGCGAAGAGACGGGCAGCTCTCTGCGCTCGAACTCCCGCCCTTGACCGCTGTAAATCACTCGCCTCCAAAGCTCACTGGGAGCCGTTGGGAAAAGTGGGTGTGGCAAAGGGACGTGACAGCAGCTACAACCAATGAAAATGAAGCAGGGTCTCAATTTAGGGAAGGTCAGCCAATGAAAAGTGAGAGTCGCTCTCTTCAGGTTTCGGAGCGGTTAGGTTGGGCGCCAAGTTTGGCCGCGGGAGGCTATCACCTGGGTGGTTACTTTGCTTTCTGTTTAATCGATATGACCAGCTCTGTGAACATAGCCACTTCCCGGTTTTCTGGAGATGCCAATGACGGCTTTCTGCTCTCTAGCCTTGCTGAGCGCCACCTCCCAAGGCGTTCTAAGTGAAGGAATGGAGAGCAGGATCGAGCTAGATTTGCAGAGCGAATTTGGGATCCTTCCAGCAAGGACCCTGGCCATTGCTGCAGCCATCTTCTCCTTCAGTGCTTTCAGTAGCCCAGAACAGTGAGAAAAATGCCGACTATCGTCCCTAGACTCTCAGAAGCTCTTCAGCAAGGGAAACGAGAGAAAAAAAGTGAAATGTTGAGATCCTAACAAAAGCGCCCACTCCTCTTGGTTTCTTTTCTGTAAATCCGGAAAAGCCTACATGCAAGTGGTCTCTACTCAAACAAAGCAAACCTGAATTCTGGTGCTATCTTACTACTTTCAAATGCCTTTCCTCAAACTGCGTAACTGTTGTGTCCCGTAGGGTTGGTTCCCTCCTACTCATAGTGATCCTATAGGACAGAGTAGAAATACCCCATAGGGTTTCCTAGTTGTAATCTTTGTGGGAGCAGATCACCAACTCTTTTCTCCAAGTAAGTGACAGTCTTGTGGTGTCTCTTGTGGGTTCAGTGGGTTTCAACTGCCGACCTTTTGCTTAGCAGCCAAGCGCTTAACCTTAACCAGCACGACCACAGCTCCCTAAACTGCGTAATAGCTATCTCAATTTTATCTTTAAAAAGGTAAACTAAAACAGTTGAAAAGTGTATTTTTGCCAAAATATAATTTTCATCAATTCCATTTTTTTCTTGCCCACATATGAAATTTTGCTAGCAGTATTCATCTTCCTTTCTTGTTTTGGAGCAAGAGGTGTCTCTTTCAAGGCTGTATTCAATCCCCTGCCACCTATCTTCTTTGGACAGTTAATCTGTATTCCGTACCACTTATACCTGAAGTCTCCTCCTCTCCAATTGTTTCTCCCCCTCAGCCTATAAATATACAAAAGTATTCCCCATCCTAAAACAAAACAGAAATGTCTCTCCATTATGCCTCCCTTTCAGAGTTTTGATTTCTCCATCTTTCTCTTTCCAAAAGCAGGAATGATCTATTCTCATTTCTCACCTACCAGTTAGTTTTTAACAACCTTCTTAATATGTAACAAAGAAATTGCTTTTGATAAGTTTGCCAGACACTTCCTAATTATAAAACTCCTCTCTTTCTTTCGTTATCATTCTCCTTGAACTCCCTGAATCGTCTCTTTTGATTATATTCTGTGCTGAGGGTTGCTGACCCAACCCTCATCCACAATCCTCTCTCTTCTGGTCCCTCTCCAGTTAGGGGAGGCCAAGTGACAGAGTTCTGACCAATGCGAAATAAGTGGGGCTTCCTGTAAAGCTTTTGCTTTCCTGATAAAAAGAGACTGATACCCTACTGTCCTTCATCTCTTCTCCCTTCCTTTTCTTTCCTACCTGGGTTTCAGACATGAGGCCTGGAGGAGCAGCTACTGTCTCATGATCATAAATATGCAGACCTAGATGCATAGTGACAGAAGAGAAAGGAAGAACCTGCCCCCCCACCCCCCGATGGTCTTTCTGATCTGTTGTACCAGCCCTGTACATCTTATTTGAGACAAATAAATCATTACTTGTTTAAGCTGCTGGTGGTCAGGTTTTCTGTCAGTACGACATGAACAATCTTCTTCCTTGGCTTCCACAAAAGCATTCTCTCCTGGTTTCCTGTTCTTTAACCTTCACTGACTCCTTTTTCTGTGATCCATTCCTTAAATATTAAAGTTCCTAAGAGATTCATCCTTCATCTCTTCTCTTTTTTCACTTTGGGCTCTTTCTGGTGACTTCGTCTACTCCAGTGACTTCATTTACTCCCTTACTCAAACTGTAAGTCCACTCCCAACCTCTGCTGTCATCAGACCGATATTTCCAACTACATCTCTCTTAGGTATTGGATGTGCATTTCAGACTCAACATACCTGTGTTGGCTAGGATTCTTTAGTTGAAACCTTTGAAACAAACTCCACTCACGGTGATATAAAAAGATGAGTCCACTTATTATAGGATACACAGAGAACTCACATGCAGGAATGCAGATGGCATTAGAAAGGGACTGGAACTAGGAAATAGAAAGCTATCAGGATCCCAGGCAACCTCCCTCTCTGTTTCTCTAATCTCTACTTCCTCTTAAAATCTGCTTAATTCTTCTCTCTCTGCAGACCACCTTTCTCTCCTGCTTATTGCATATGGAAATATGAGTGCGGCAGTTTCCATGTTTCTATGTTAGAGATCCAGACATGCAGAAAGATTAATTTTCACTTTTTTATAAAGAGACTCTAGTTGGCCCAGTTTGGGAAAGGTGCTCATCCCTGAACCAAAAATATACGGCCAGTGGGACAGGGACATGTAGCAGAACAATGTCTTTGGATGGGGAAGATAGGATATTTGCAGTCTTAGAGAAAGAGTAGGTCAGTGGTTTTCCTTTGTGTCCAAAACGTGAACTAAACTGAGTAGCTTTCTTGCCATGTTTTCTTTTTCTATATTCTACAGATTGATCTATGACTTCCGCGTCTATTCTAATTCCCTAGACAAACGAGAGCCTGTGGTGCTGTATCTGAGCTGAATGAAGACTGGGGGCTTGTGCTATATATAGCAGAGGGATGGAATTGGCTTAATAGCTGCAGAATGTGAAAATAAAATAAATAGTATCCAGGAGAAAACTAAAATGGAAAGGCAGCTAGGTGGGTCAACTGAAGCCTCTTAAATGGAGGATGAGGAGAATACAGCTAAAAGTCAACTGAATTAAAACTGGGGATTTTACTCCAAAGAAAAGTTTGAAGGAGAGGCAGAAGGCACAGCCTGGATAAATTCCATCAGTCAGGGAAAAAGGCATGGGGACTTTTATAAGGTCCTTGGACCCCAGGAGAGATGTAATGAGGACCCTAGCTAGTTTTAGACTCTACATTCAGTTGATTAAGATAGAATAAAAGCTTCATCCATATTGGATGCCTCCCTCTCCTTTGACAAATTTAGCCAATCACTAAATCTTGTTGCTTTTACCTCAGGAATGTCTTTCAGATTTATGCCTGTTTCTAAACTCCCCACTTTCATTGTATTTGTTCAGTCTCTTATCACTTTAGTGTGCACTGCTCAATAACCTCCCATTTAGTTTCTACATTGCTTTCAGAATTACTTTATTAAAAACCTTTGATGACTTCTCATTTGCCCCAGGATAAAGTTTAAATACCTAATCATGTTGTGTAAGACCAATCACAACGTGGCATCCACGATCTAGTCAGGTGATCCCGTTACCTGACATGCAATTCACGCTATACTTTTTTTTTTTTCATGCTGTCCCCTCTCCTGCCTTATACGCCTTCCATCCCTCATCTGCTCAGCAAATTTCTATTCATCTTTCAAGGCACAGAACAAAAATTGCCTCCCCTTTTTAGTTTTTCTGGACCATCTACACATCTCGGGAGAATCCATTTCTCTCTTATTTGTGTTCGTATAGTAGTTTAGTAAAGAATATTCTATGCTTCTATAGTATCTCTATAGTATAGTATCTTCTATAACATCTCCCATATTGAATTATGGCTATTCATTTGACTATCTCTTCTGCTAGATTGTGAGTTCCTCAAGGCCAGGGAGACTTATAAATTAATTGTTGTTTCTCCAGCACACAAACCTAACATGTGGTAGGTGTGCTATAAAATACTCATTGAGATGAAACTGTTAACCATAGTTCTCCATTAACCTGAACTTCTATATAAGTGCAGTGTGCACACAACCCGATGAGCTTCATGATTAACTAAAGGTTGATTAATTTACCTTCTAATAACACATGAATGACTTTAATTTCAAGCATGTTTGGATTATGCATGCTGGGTATTAATAAGTTAATATTTTATTTTAAAATGCTGTGTTTGAATATGTTTATAAAAGTTTAAGCCTAGAAAAGGCAAGTACCAGGTAGGGCACACTTGATTTAGAAAGTAATTTAAGCTATTACTCAGTAAAATCTGTTTTTATATATATATATATATACATATATATATATATATTTAAAAGAAAGTGAAAATAGGGAAAGTGCTGGAAAGAGGGAACTAGCCTCTTTTTGTGATATGAAAACCCTAGACCAGGAGTGAGACCTATGTTCTGGTCCTAGCATTGCCACTAATTCTGAGGAACTTTTTTTTTCTTTATTGTACTTCAGGTGAAGGTTTACAGAACAAGTAGTTTCTCATGAAACAGTAGTACAAATATCGTTTTATGACATTGGTTAACAACCTCACAACATGTCAACCCTCTCCCTTCTCAACCTTTATTTTTTGGTGAAAATATACATAGCCAGTGATACACCATTTCAAAAATTTCTACATGCACAGTTCAGTGACATCGACTACGCTCTTCCAATTGTGCTGCTATTCTCACTTTAGATGAAGGTTTACAGAACAAAATAGTTTCTCATCAAACAGTACACATGTTGCCCTATGACAATGGTTAACAACCTCACAACACATCAACACTATCCTTACTCAACCTTGGGTTCC